TCGCCGTACACCGTAAGCGTTGGCGCATTCGGTGAGGACCCAGATAGTTTGGTTACATTGCGTGAGCTATGAGCATCCTGCATGAAGGCTGTATGGTAGCCTCCAACGGGGTATGATTAGTTTCAGCCGCTCTTGCATCCAAAAGGAGACGAGGCACAAACTCTGCCACCCCCAATCACTATTAAATTCTGCCTTGGCCCAGCCTGTTGGACCTGTTCTTTCATTCTTTAGATTCGGATTGACTGCTACCCATTCAAGGCACATCCTTCCAAGCCGCAAATAGGATACAGCCTCGATCATGTCAGAAGTACAGCGCTCCGATGCTGAGGTCAGTGTTTTTACACTTACCTTGACGAGTTAGCAAAAGATCACTAATCATATTGACGTCGCAAAGCACCGCACGCCGCCCGACGAGAGGTCGTACGTAACGGACTCAAAAACAGCTGAATTGGTCAGTGTAATTGAAGCGCTTGAATGAGGCTACATAGTTGCTCATCGGCGATATACTTATAGCCTATCCCGAAATTTGACGTTGAGAATACGGTATGGCTCACCAAAGGAAGGCACCGGGTCGCAGCGACTGTACAGAAACGAACGCTCGAAAATAAAGAATATTTTTACGAGGTGAAATACAAGGAGGATAGAAATGGCCAGCAGTATGATAAGGTCGAGAAGGTTGCACAAAAGGAACTCAGAGAAAGGTGAACATCGGAATGTGGGACAGTCCGCAGTATGTTTCCTTGCTGGCTGGCTTGGCTGGCCAGAGCTGAGAAAATCAGCAATCGTCGCACGAGAAGCATGGTATTTTGCGACTAACCAATGATCGTCTTTTTGTGTGGATGACTTGCATCTACATATATAGTACTACGTACGGCATCTCAATTTAGCTATACAGATACAGTCGATCCATTGCTCTAATTGGGCAGTTTGACCGATGCATGGCGTCTGCAGCAGTGAGGGGCGACAGGCTCACGAGGCCCACCGAAGGAAGCCTTTGGTAGCCCGACGGTGGTTTGGGTGGTTGACAGTAGTCTTGATCTTCTGGAATAAAGACTGGCGCAATGTTGAATATTTGAAAATCGGAAAATAGAATGACTCGAGGCTCTGAGCTACCTCAGCTTCCGACTCCAGTAGCATTGATGATCACTCTGCACAATGGACTCATCCGGCTTTTACCATGCCGACCTTGAGAAAGGCATGTCTAATGACAGAAGCCAAACAGGATGTACAGATTCGACCAATCAAGATTCTGCGATCTCCAAGATTGTGCATCCCTCGGATCAAAGAACGCCCAGGAGACTGCTAAAGTCTCTCTACGAGTCTGTCCGGCAGTGGGACACACGGTGCTCGGATCCCCATAGGGAACCTCAGCACAGAAAGTGTAAGTTGCTTTGGTGAACATGGATGCGACAGTAGCTAATAGATCACCACGTGAAGTGGTCTGCAATGAGAAAAGCTACCGGACAATGGCCACATTTTCAGATAGCGACGAAAATTTCATGATATATCGTCGTTTCGGATATTTACATGCACGGACACTTCTGAGGCTGCAAGACAAGTTGCGAGTGCTGGAACGTAGCTTGGACCTCTATGACGATGAGGATGCCGCAGACAGTAATCAAAAACGGCTCCTATCATGTAGGGAGGCGGATGAAGTAGATTGCGAAAAGCGCGCGAGGGATGAGCCAGATGTCCCAACGCGCACGCAAATTTTGAATGAAATCGAGGACGTACTGAAGCGATATGGTATAATTTTCGAGATCCCTCTTTGGTATCAATCCCTGACAGCTCCCAGATGAGATGGTTCTCAAGGCGCAACACATGGTCTCGCTCAATCGGCCAGCAGAAAGGGACTATCGGAGTGTCGAGGCACAATTCCACAGCAAAAAGCTCCTGGTAGACGAGGAATGGCAATTCATCTATCAGAAAGAGGATTTGATTACTTTGAGAGATGGTAGGGAGATGGCGGCCTTGGATTCCCTGACCGAAAGACTGCTGCAGACATTTCACTGCGCATTCCTCAAGGTGAGTACATTCCATTCCGCGAATTCAGAAGGATGGAGAAAGTGTCTAGGCTAATAACTAACAAATTTGGACTATCAGAAACTCTTCTGCACAAAGGTATTATAGCACAGCACTTTGATTCTTGTCAATTACTAATGAGACGATCGCAGCGTGATCTTGAGAAGACTGATGACCCCAATGTCCACTACTTTAGCAAACACCGTCAAGATTGCTTGAATACCACGATTCTATGCCTAGTTCTTCTCAGTCTATTGGTATTGCCTGTCTATGTACTATTCCGATTGCTAAAGACGCATCCCGACGAAAAGGCATACACAGAGAGCATTGGTGTGATGATCATCTTCATGCTACTGTTTTCAGGAGTGTTGTCATTTTTCACTAAAGCGAAGCGACATGAAATCTTTGCTGCGGCCGCTGGGTGAGTCTTCGTATTCTCAAATGGTTTGTAATATAGTGTATTAATGAATTTCAGATACTGCGCAGTTTTGATGGTGTTCTTCAGTAATATATCATAAACGACGCGCGATGACAGATATATTTAGCAGAGCTCAGACGAATCAATGATCTCGAACACAATATATGAATTCTGCGTCTGCGGCGAAACTCTTCCAGATTCTCATCCTCTTGTACAATATATTCAAGAATACCAGTGTGGTTCGCTTGGATTATGGCTTGCTTTATCCTCCTTTCTCTTGTCTCTCCTTACCGGTTCACTGCTTTATCTCTTTCTTTGACGATAAGAAGTGGGGAGCAAAAACTAATCGACTGAAGAATATACATTCGTTAATACTTGAATAGATTTGTATGTGACATACTCAATGGCTTGAGATGGTAGTCAAAACGCCGCTTCAACTAAAATTAAGACTAACAGATGAAAAGATATATTTTTGACCCATCTGTACATTTATCGGTCATTGTCTTGTCTCTAAATATCAATCCATGCGTCTTTTTTCGAACAAAGAGTCAAGTATCATGGAAACCCGTTCCTCCTGGCGAACCGACCGCGCCGGACCATCTTGACCGTCTTGACGACAGTAGGCTGGCCATCGACGCCGACACTCGTGGCATGCGGTCCCAGATCAGCGTGAGCTGCCGCCGCCACCCTCTTCTCCTTCTTTGCCGCCGCCACTCCTCTCGCCTTTACCTGAGCGCCATTACGTTTGTAGACCGAGACAAAGTCCTTGCCGCCGCCGCACATCTGGCGACTGTCGCCTCCGCACGGCGTCGTGCACTTGCCAGTGACTCCCGGTTCGACTTTGGACTGGGCGTCTATCTTGTTGCCGCACCAGCACTCGATGCCGTTCTTGAGACCCGACAGAGAATATTTCTTCGAGTCGCAGGCGGCTACACAAAAGTCGACTGTCTGCTTGCTGTATTGATAGCTGGACACGGTCAGAGCGTGCCAGTTGGGCGGTTCTGATGCGCAGCCGACATATGTGTGGTCTTTTGGCTCGTAAACGGACTGTTGTGTCGCTGACGTGGTGGGAGTAGAAGAAGTCGCAGAATAGGATGACTGAATGATGGACTGCAAAGTGGTCTTGACGGCGGCAGCTGTCGGGGTCGGTGTAGGAGTGACGGTAACCACGGTCGCCGCCGCAGCCGCAGCCGGACCCTTGGCCGTGATGCAGTACCAGTAGTTGGCCCAGAACAGGGCACTGCAGTTCTCGCCGTTCTTGCCGAGAAAAGGGTTGAGGCTGTAAAAGTACTCGCGGCTATCCTGGGCACGGTGTGAAAAATCGGCGCAGGTGTCGTCCTTGTCAACATCATAGGACTTCATCCACCTCACGCAGTTTGAGACGATGCCCGCCTGCGTCGGAGAAGGGGGTGCATTCGTGACATATGCCATGTTCATCGCCATCTTGATGATATGTTGCTATTTTAATTTCGAGTAGCATGAAATCAGGGTATCCTAGACAATCAACTGGACGTGCAACGTAGTGATCTGGGTGGCAGGGCCAAGGTTTTCTTGATTTCGAAAGACGTTTGTTACCCTTCATTTTTGCCATCTTAGCAACAAAGATGTTCTAGACTTACCATTCCCACGTGGGAGACTGGCCGGCTTTGAGTCGATCTCTCTCGGGTCGGATCAGTTATGGCGCAATGATCTGGTTGTTTGTCTTCCGTGCAATTTATATAAAGAGAACATATCCTCTTCCCCTGACAAGGAAGTAGCTGGGAGTGTCCTTTGAAGCGCTGCAGTTCATTGTCACATCCGTAGATTATTCATTTTGCGTTAGAGGAAAGAATTCATTTTCTTCTTGAATACAGATAATACTCTCTGCTGTGACGCTGAACGATGAGTCGATTTGGTCATAAATATTTATTTTCGAATCTGCCTTGTGCTGGAGTGACATATCACAAGTTAAACTACTCAAATATTCAAATGTATTGATCATTGCGGCATTAAATCCCAAGTTCAGCTTATTTGGTATTTTCCAAGTGCGCCATCAATTTATTTTTCACAAATCATGGTGAATAGAAAATGCTAATGGATATAGCGTAAAGAGTCGAACTGATTCTACAAATCTCTCGGCTGATGATGAGCATCTGCATTCAAGTCCGAGCTTTGTGTATCGAGTAAAGAGTTTGGGCGTGCATCGTTTTTTCTTATATAAGAATGAACTACCAAAGACAAGGAAAAAAAGGCTTGCGAAAGGAGGTCAATATTCTTTTGACACATTCTTCGGTGGCTGCGACAAAGGGCGGGTATTGCCGCAAGGGAGGGAACAAAAATCGGCAGTGCCAGTCAACCGTTCCCGAGACAAAGATTGAAGAATCAATAAGACTTGTTGCAGATTGATTTCGTAATGTGGCTTTCAATATTCTAGTAGTGCTCCCATTTATGTGATGCGTTGCGAGAACATGTCGAAATGCCGAGTCCTCAGAACGGGTACCAAACACTCGTTACCGCACCAGCTACCAAACTCATCCCCATATCCTATGGAGTATTAAGCAACTGACTAATCAACAGCTAAGGCAACTTGCCAGAGTGGTTAATGGGTGAGACTCGAAATCTCATGGCTTCGGTCGCGTAGGGTAAGTTATGACAGAATAATCTCTCAGAAAATCCATACACATGCTAACAGAAATCATCACAGTTCGAATCCTGCAGTTGTCGAAAACTCAATTTTTTTTGCGCATTTGAGGTTCGAATCCTATGATTTTCGATTTTTGAGGGCATTCCCATTGGACTATGCCAATATATTTTTGCTTCCCGAGTGTCCTTGCACCGTGCATTGTTTATAAAATATGATCGCATCAACCTGGCAGCGTGCAGGGCGAAGTCGAAGTCTCGGCGAGCCACCCCTGAAGCTCTCTTAGCTCCGGCCAATCAAGAGGCCACCTTCGCCATGGTTCGCTCTCTTTGAGTAAAGATTGTCCCAGTTGCTCGTGACGTGAACCATTGAAACTCAAACTCATTCATTACTCTCCTCTCCCTCCCTCTCTCATCGCAACGCGAAACTCCAGAAAAAGGGAAAGCATCACAGGCTTGTCCAACGAGGGGCCATGGATAGACTTATGCCTTTAGCCGAGTCACTAGAGCCGTTTCTTGAGCCAGCCCTCTTGTGCCAGACCTGCTTCATCTTGGCCGCGAGCAGTGTCTTGGCTATTGCAGCTGCACCGCAATCAGCGCGTACTCTCCTCACGCAATACGGTGCGCGCAGCAATTCCTCGGCCGCAGAGGGAAGCCAGAAAAATGCCACCATACCCCAAAATCGCTTTGTTCAACTCATCAGCTGGGTCACCTCACTTGGACAGGTGCCGCATTCATGGTTTATCCACTTCTACATCGTCTCAGTTTCGAGCTCGGTATTTTGGGCTGTCCAGTATTTCTATGGAGGTGCCATTCTGAAGATGATCTGCAAGTATCAAGCCGCTCGAAGCTCCGCACCAGGAATGAGTATCGGACAAGTCCAACTGACATGGCTGCTCATGGCCATGCAGGGGATCCGTCGACTGTATGAATGCTTTTACGTGCTTCGAACCTCGTCATCCTCCAAAATGTGGTTTATGCACTGGTTGCTCGGATGTGCCCATTACCTGGGCATTGGTGTCGCGGTTTGGATCGAAGGTTCTCGTAAGCCCCCCAACTCTTCCATCGTTCCTGGTCTAGACTCATGCCATCTCTTAGGTGCTATATTGCAGTCGGATCCATCATCTCTCAGCTTGCACCGGCCATCTGTTTACCAATTCGGGGGTGTACCTCTCTTCCTGACTGCGTGGTTCCTACAGTACCGATGTCATGAGCACCTTGCAGGTCTGAAGAAGTACTCTCTTCCTCAGCGAGGACTCTTTCGATATCTGATTTGTCCACATTATACATGTGAATGCCTCTTGTACCTCTCCCTGGCTATTGTTGCCGCACCGGATGGCGACTTGTGCAACAGAACACTACTGTCTGGCCTGCTTTTTGTCGCGGTCAACCTTGGTATCACCGCCAAAGGCACCAAACAATGGTATGCCGACAAGTTTGGCAGCGAGCAGATTAAGGACAAGTGGAACATGATCCCACTCTTGTTCTGAACGCAACATCCTTTAAGAATCATGCCTACTACTTCTTTCGAAACATTGCGAATTTGTTGCCAAGCTTTGCAATCTTCAAGACATCTCGATACGTCAGGCTGGTGCGCGTGGTTCGGGTATTACGGCCATCAACAAAGTCACTGGGGGACCTCAGGAGGCTCCAGTTCGCTACGGTGCTTTCTGACAGATCGACATCCTCTGTGATATCGGATATGCCGTGGAGGTAATCGGTATACAGGTCTTCGGTAGTTATGAGAAGGCTCCGTGGTTCTTGGAGGATTCTCCATGCAGGAACAGGGTCAAGCGCGCCATCTTCCTTACTCTTGTGGATATTCAGACACAGGCTCGCGCCCAAGCTTACAGTGGCGACTACGGGGTGATATGCATTTCCGTCCTTGTGAGGCATGATTCCAATGCCTGGGGGATATTCGTTGATGAGGACGTGGTTGGGCCGCTGGTGCGGACTATCTGAAAATAAGTCAGGCGCATTGAGTTCTGGCGATCGAGGAATAGCCTTTAGGCGAGAAATGACGGGTTCAGCGAGCCAGGCTGGCAGAGGGGCCTCGACGAGCTTGTTATTGACAAGGTCTGAGGGCCAAGTTTGGAGGCGACGATGGGTGAGCTGCGTCCAGCGAGGCTTGGGAGCGGATGCAATCTATTGTCCACGATTAGAGCACGAGCAATGGCAGCCTACCGAAAACCTTGTACTTTATCTAAAATGATTCGTTCTTCGTCCTCGGATATAAAATCGGGAATGTAGTAGGCGGCGGATGGGAGAGAGTCGATGCGTGCGTTGCTCAATGAAGTCGGTAGGACAACGGGCGGGATGGCGGAGGCTGAGCCAGCATTGTCACCCATCTTTCAATGCGAAATATAGAAGGCTGAATGCAAGTGAGCGGCGCTAGTAAGATATTTGATGTGTGACAAGCCAGGTTGTTCAGTCTTCCGTGTTTTCTTTCTCTCTTTCTTTATCCTCGCTGGATGCCTGATATGCGCAGGCAGACTCGACGTCGAGAGATGGTGGTATTGACAGCCTGCCGTTGTGTGCAAAGAAGAAGAAGGATGTAATGTGGCGGTCCGAATGAGTCAATGAAAGGGAACGCAGATCACAGAAGGTGCAGGCAGTTGCGGAAGCAGGCAGACAGTGTTCGTCCAATACTCTGAGTTCGATGTGAAGGTGTCGGTGAACAAAGGCGCTGGAGAAAAGACAGACAGACAGGCTCAGGCTCAGACTTCAGACTTTTGCGCGGGGGTAGTTGCTTCTCTTCGGAGGCCCGGGACTTGGGGCAGGTTCATTCAGTTTCTCTTTTCCTTCTTCTTCGTCCACCTCCACCTCCACGGCTTTGGAGCTATATTAGCATTGAGGATAGCGAGTCTAAAAATCGACAACAAGGTTTGGTAATGATGTCGTCGTCGTATGCTGCTTGTCCCTTTTTCCTTTTTCACACGCCTTCTGGGGGCTCGACTAATTAATGAAAAGCAGATGGGCTTTGTGAGGGGGTTTATTGAAGACAGCAGACAAGAGAGCCGTCCAACCGACGTTGAGTGGACCTCAGCGAGCCTTATCAAGGCAGGACCCGGCAGTTGAACAATGTGGTAAGTGTGGTGTGAAGGAGGGGGAATCGATCCCGCGATAAGTGTGGAAGGAAGACGGGCGAGCAGGGGGAGGAGTCGCACTGTATTTCTTGGTACTTTGGACCTGGTTTAAAGGTACGAGATACTTGAGCAGCCTGCTGGCAGATGCTAAGAAATAGTTATTGGCACACACATGAATGGAAAGAGATCAATGCGCAGGGGTTGGGGGGCGGCGGCGACGGCGTGACTTGGACAGACAGACAGGGTGATCAACAACAATAAAAACAACATGGCCAAAAGGAAGGAAGACTCATCTCATCATATCAACGCACCACACAGCAGACAGCAGACAGCAGACAGAGAGAGGAACGAGCGAGTATTGAATCCAACCCGAACGCGAAGCTGGGTTGCTAGTGGACTGATGAAACGAAATGAGGAGGGGATGCAAGAGACTGGACTCTGACTGGGTCTCGAATCGATTTGGGCCTCCACTGGGCCTGAATCTGCCCACTCAGCGCCGGGTTGGCCCTTCTTTGCCCTTTTGACCCCTGTCCGGCCCCAGCGAAGTGCAGCATAAGCGGCAGCGAAAGAACGCAGTCGCGCAGAGCCCTGTCCCATTTTTCCTGCCCTCGTCTGCCTGTTGACTTTCTGCGTCTTGGGTCTATGTAGACCGCCGTAGTGATGCGAAGTGCCACCCACTGGGCCGCCTACTGCCAATCAAAGTGGATTCGAGCCAGCTGTGCTAGCGGTCGCCCGAGTTCCCCCCCAAGACTTGCAGGTTTCAATGGGATGGGCGCGCTCGCTGCGGAACCAGGAGAGTGAGACGGCTGAACGATTAGGGCAAGACGAGAGTCTGTACATAGGAGGGATAGGGAAAGCAGGCAGAACATGACAGATGGGGGGCAGACGACTAGGCAGGCAGGCAGGCAGGCAGGGACAGGAGGACACTTCGCAACTCGGCCGGCTCGCTCACTTCTTCCTTGTCTGCCTCCTCGCGCAACGAGACGAGAAAGGCGACCAGTTTTTTGCCTCCGAGACCACCCTAGCACTGGGACCTCTACATACAGGGCGGGCCACCGGGGAGAACATGGAAGTGGAAGAGGGAAAAAAAAAACACTTGGTCGGTCAGTCGGTCCTTGCCTGACTGAGCCAGACTAGCGGCTAGGTAGCATGGTTGGCTCGCTCTGCTGCAAGCTTGAGTCTGCCTTCATCTTCTTATGATTCGTCTTGATGTGGTTTGGCGCGGGTCTTTGCTTTACGCTCAAGCTGCTTTTGCTCTGTGCCTGCTCTGTGCCTGCTCTGTTCTCTGTTCTCGTGATTTCGCAGTCCATCCTTTTTTCGCTCTACTGCCGTTTTTGCCTTAGGAACAGAGAAAGGACGAGAGAAGAGAGAGAGAAGGAAGCGAGGAAGAAAAGTGAAATGAATTGAATTGACTGAAACTGCCTACCACCATACACTACTACGTACTACTACCTTAACACACTACCTACTACTGGTCGGTTGGCATTACTCTACTTCAATTTACCTTGCCCATTACCTTAACTCTGCACCATTACCACCTGTACAAGACAGCCAGCACGAGTACATCGCATACGTACCTCTGCATACTACCGTTGGTACCGATTTGACTGAGCCAATCCACATCTTTGGCCCCCTTCGCCGCGCCGATAGGTTTCCAGAATCTAATTCCTCTCTCGCTGCTGTACTATTTTCGTAAAACTCTTTTTTCCTTTTTATCTTGATCTATCATTTTGCGGCTACTATTCGACTCTTTTTGCCCGGCCCTCGACCCAGAAAAGACGAGAAACGACTGCACAGTTGTCCCTCGCCCCATTCTCCATCCAACCCAGCCCGTCTTTCCGCCTGCACGCAACGCACACACACGCACACACACACTACCCAAGACTCGCTCCCTGGTTCAGCTCTTGGTGCGTTTGACCTTTGGAGGACCCACGCAATTCCCGTTTCTCAGACTCGTATTCGACCAGAGCCAACGATCTCTCCTCATCCTCGATTCAT